AGAAAAGAAAGAAAAAGAGAAGAGAAGAGAACAAATATAATTGAAGAAAGAATGAGAGAAAGAGAGAGAGTGTTTCTAACGAAAAGGAAAAAAAAATCTGACAAACCCACATGCATGAAAGAGAGAGAAAGGGCAATTTGGTCATAAAAAAGAGATCAGTCCCATCAAGGGCATTTCTCTAATATCGACCCCAAAAAGGGTGTGGGAGCAAATAATCTCTTACTAAAATGAGTTACAAAACATAATACATTTAGGATCACACAACCTACATTTCGGTTCTAAAGAGATATTGCTGGAACTATCATCGGTTAACTACCTTTTTTCAAAAATGTACTCAATCAAAAATATCCTAGCTAACATTTGGGTTAAGGTTTAGTTATTATAGTTTAAGGTGTAGTATTTATGTGGTGGGTTTGGTTTATAAACTTCTATAAATGTTTTATAAATTATTCTTACACACCTAGAATGGTTAGTTTAATTTTTTTCCATCACAAACTTAAGTTATTTATTAAAATGATGATCATTTAAAGGTAAATTTGAAAAGTAATATCAAATTTGTGGTAAATTTGAAATCCCTCAATTTTAAAATGACTTGGAAAACATACCACCTTAGCACGATCGTCTTTCATATAGACAAAGAGATAATAATTGTATGTGAAACTAATTCGTTGAAGCAAATAGTAGATGAGTTGGCTAAACTGATGAGGACATATCCCAAAGAAGTACCAATGGTGACACCGTAACAGTATTCACAGAAACGAAAACTGAATTAGATTGAAAGGATTATTTCTTGAAAGAAAGAGTTTTGTTGCAAACTGTTTCAAAACTCTTCCAATTTAAAGGTGCGTATTCGCATATTTGGCCAAAAAAGAAAGAGTTTTGTTGGCAGGCTACGGAGAAAACTGAAATTGACATATATTCATATGGCCAAGACACCATATATTATGTCACTCTAACTGTTCATTATATTCACTGTCGCCCTCGTAAGACCTGTGAACTTCTCAACATGATGAATTAACGATTTTGGGTGATGGACATGGTGCAATAATTCAAACTTTATGTCTCTATTTGTAAGAGATGTACCGCGCGGAAAGCTTTTGCTTTTCTTTATTTAGACTATTTTTATATGGACGGTTTGGAATTGTTCCTTGTTAGGATTCGGTTCCATCGTGTTTGGTACACAATTTTTAAAGTGGTAAGTTTATTGACTTACAATAATATGTACAAAACATCGGTTAATGAATGACAAGCGATAATTAACTCATTATTTTAGTCTTTCATGTCAATATTTGAAACTTGATCAATATGTCAAAAAAGCTTTTCGAATCATTTTTTTCTGCTATAACATACATTTTTTACCGAATTTAAACACAGTAATGATATTAACGGATACACTTTATGCTCGGTTAAACTCTGGCCTTTTTTTCCTTTTGCTTTATAGTGGTCTTGCTTTTTTATTTTGGTCGGCCATTTTTCATTGTTTTTCGCCTTCGTGTTGGTAGGAGGATCATCAGTGACCACTGACCACCTGCGAAACATCACATACGTATACAAGTAACACAACATACTTGCTTTTTGCGTTTCAATATTATTTTATTCATGCATTTTAGTTACTTTGTATCTAACTCCATTAACATTTAAACTTAGTTTTTGTTACCAAAAAAATGTAAACTTAGTTTTTAACAAACAAAAAAACATGTAAATTTAGTTAGACTTTTGATACCATGACTTCTATTAGAACATCCCCATTAATAAAATGGGGGGGGGGGGGGGGGGGGGCTGCTCGATTCCCAACACAAAAAAAATGATTTTATTATTATTTTCTTCTTTTTCGTTTGATTCAAAAAAAGAAACAAAAAAGATAACTAACCGAACCAATTACGGGTTGCCACGTGATGTAGTGTCCGCGATACAGTGATGAAACGAGTTCACTGCCAAAACCTCATGCGAGACAGGTTCACTATTGTGGATTATTTTAATATTTTTTTTGAGAATATGTATGAACCCCACCTAATTTCACTAATGGGGTGCTCCTAGAAACCAAAACCCTAATATCATTCTAAAATTTTATTACTAAAAAAACATTTTGAACATGGGCCTTATAATTGGGCCCGTATTATAAAAGAAAGAAGACAAAACAAACGATTGCTAAACCTGTAGGTATTATATGGGCCTTGATGGACCCTTTGTAGACTTAAATTTATGGAGTCCAAACGACGCCGTATCACATCGGTTCGCCCGTTTGATCGTCAATAGTAATAAAGAGCCCTTTGGCGGCAGCGTTAGCCGGGAAAGTCGTCACTCAAGGCGGTGAAGAGAGAAAACATGGGAGTGCAAGGGCTTTGGGAGCTACTCGCTCCCGTAGGTCGCCGCGTCTCCGTAGAAACCCTAGCCGGAAAACGATTAGCTATCGGTAACACAGATTTAAAGCAACTTCAATTGGTTTTGAAGTATCGTTAACGAATCGATGGAATGTTGAAATTGCAGATGCGAGTATATGGATGGTACAGTTTATAAAGGCGATGCGTGACGAGAAGGGCGATATGGTGAACAACGCTCACTTGATCGGATTTTTCCGGAGGATTTGCAAACTTTTGTTTCTAAAGACTAAACCGGTTTTCGTCTTTGACGGTGGGACTCCGGCGTTGAAACGACGTACTGTTATTGCGCGGAGGCGTCAGCGTGAGAATGCGCAGACGAAAATTAGGAAAACTGCGGAGAAGTTGTTGCTTAATCGAGTCAGTGACTACATTTTTGTAATATGAGAAAGATTTGATTAAAGTTTGAGTGAATAGATTTGGTGTGTGGTTTTTTTGTAGCTTAAGGAGATGAGGCTTAAGGAACAAGCTAATGATCTTAAGAAGCAAAGGCTGGAGCAGAGTAAGAGTGATGGAGGTAAGAAGCGTGTGTCTTCTGAAACTGTGGAAGAGCCTTTGCGAGGCTCTGGAGATGAAGATGGTGCGGGGGGAAGTTGTTTTCAGGAGGAAAAGATAGATGAGATGTAAGCAACAATCTCTTGGTTATTTAAGGCATTATGTTGTTAGAAATGCTATAATGATCTTGATTGATGTAGATCTTCAGCATCTATGGTCGGAGAAAATGTTAATGATGATGTCACTAAAGGATCCTTGGTAAGTGAATACTAAACATGGAACTGCAAAGATGGTGTTTTGTATCTAGTTCTGAACTCTTTAGACTAGAGTGTTGTTGTTAGGATTGTTGGTACGGTCTATAACATCAAGATGAAACTAACTTGAAGTTAGTCGTGGTTACTTGTCATAGAATGGTGGAGTTATATTTTTTTTTATGCCATCTTGCGGTTATTAATAGCTAGAATATAGGAATTGTGGTTACGCTGTGTTGTGATGTGTTTTCTACTTTATGTTATTTATTTGCTTTGACATGCCCTTAGTCTTGATTTTATTTGTAGTTTGTTAATTATAGCATTTTGAAATAATGTTTACTCTACTTGTCACTGCTAACAAACACGTTATGTTTTTTTTGTAAATGGTATTTCTATGTTCATTCCCTAATCAGTCAATTTGTGGGTGACTTGCAGAAGTATGATCCCAAGGGAAAAGGAGTTTTGGTGGATGAGGACGATCTAGATAACAGAATGAAGAGTAATATTGAACAGGGTTCCTCAGCAGGGACGAAGGATTATCAAGAAAAGTTGGATGAGATGTAAGCGGTAGTTGAGATATGGGTTCAAGAGTTTATTTGCATATAGTCATTTCATGTTTTCCTTTCTTGGTTTTATATAGGTTGGCGGCATCCCTTGCAGCAGAAGAAGAGGGAGCTTTTACTAACAAAGCATCGTCTTCAGCTGCAGAAATTCCATCTGAGGAAGAGGGTAGCGATGAAGATGAGCAAATTCTTTTGGTAATCTGTGGTCACTTACGTTACAGATCACTATTTTCATGGGATATGAATTGGTTAAGTTGAAGATATTTTTAGTTAAGCAATTAGCACCAATTGGTTGGTCCTCTTTCTGGAAGTGGAAATCTTCATTACTTTACTAAAGAAGCATATGACATTGTCCTTGGAATTATGTTTTCTGTTTATAGTAAGGAGTTATCTGATGCTTTAATGTCTTCATCTGCTAATATTGTTTTGTGTACCTTCTAGCCAGCAATGGATGGGAATGTCGACCCAGCTGTTTTGGCTTCTCTTCCTCCATCCATGCAACTTGATCTCCTTGCTCAGGTAACTAACGATATTGACAGCATTTCTTCGTAGCATGCTGAGTTACAGTGACGTTTCAGTTTATTGGATAATTTTGTTACTCGTAGATGAGAGAAAAATTGATGTCAGAAAACCGGCAAAAGTACCAAAAGGTCAAGAAGGTAAGTCACATAAATCACAGACACATTCTTCCTCCATTATCCATTAAGAGATACGGAAATGAATATAGAAGTTGTTATTTTTGTTTTGTGACTGTATAGGCCCCTGAAAAGTTTTCCGAATTGCAAATAGAAGCATATCTCAAAACTGTAGCCTTCCGTCGAGAAATAAATGAAGTTCAAAGAACTGCTGGTGGGAGGGCTGTCGGTGGTGTTCAAACTTCTAGGATAGCTTCTGAAGCGAACAGAGAGTTTATCTTTTCATCTTCTTTTTCTGGCGACAAAGAGTGAGTTGCAGTTTGAACTCTAATAGAGAATAAGGTACTGTGGTATTAGAAAATTGCTGATGTTTTTAGTGTGTTCCAGAGTACTTGCGTCTGCAAGAGAAGGAAGAAATGATGGAAAACAGAAAAATACGCCAAAACAGCCTTTGCCAATCCCTGTTAAGAATATGTCTTCGCTCAATAAATCAGATACTACTACCGAGTTGGATAGGGATGAACCAGCGAATCCTGATGAAAATATTGAAGTGTATATAGATGAAAGGGGTCGTTTAAGAATTAGGAACAAACACATGGGGATCCAAATGACTCGTGATATCCAGAGGAACTTACATTTGATGAGAGAAAAGGAGAAAACAGCTTCTGTTTCTACGTCGAACAATGATGAAACGCTCAACGCCTGGGAGAATTTTCCTTCTGAGGACCAGTTTCTTGAAAATTTACCTGTTAATAAAGGCGATGGTGTAAATCTGGATAACCAGAATGATGATTCCATACTGCGAAATCAATCTGCAATAGAGATATCGTTTGAACATGGTGGTGGAAAAGATCTTGATGATGAAGATGATATGTTTCTTCAGTTGGCAGCGGGAGGACCAGTGACCACTAGTTCTGCAGAAAATGATCCTAAAGAGGACTCTGTGTCGTGGGCATCTGACAGTGATTGGGAAGAAGTGCCTGCTGAACAGAGTAGTGTTATCTCTAATCTTGAAGTGAATTCAAGCAATCAGCAGAATCCCGAGAATATTAGTACAGATGAGGATGCAGCAAGGGGAGACCCTACTTGTGAAAATGCCAGTACCTCCATGGAGAACGATACAGTAACAAAGTTCTCAAAAGGTTATTTGGAAGAAGAATCTGAATTGCGAGAGGCTATCCAGAAAAGTCTCCTTGACTTACATGATAAGGAATCCGAGGATGTCCTTGAAGAAAATCAAACTGTGGGGGTAAATCAAGTTGCTGACAAGTCAGATCAGGATAGTCTGTTTTCTAGTGAAACCGTTGGTAAAGCTGAGGAAGAGGGAAGTCTGGACGGAATACCAATCTTGAAAGCTAGTGGTGCTATAAATGAGCAGTACAATACTTCGGTAACGGACAATGTAGATGGCCACAGAGATATAACGAAACAAATTGGTACGCACCCTTCTTCCAGTTCTGACAACGTTGGACGTGCTGTGAGAAACGAAATGCCACAAGTAAAGTCAGTGATCTCACCCGAGAAATCATTTACAATTGCTAGTGAGAGCAGCATGGTGTCCTCCATGGCTAAGCAAAATAATGAAGACGGTTCTGAAAGTTTTGGTGGAGAATCTATCAAAGTGTCGGCTATGCCCATAGCTGATGAGGAGAGAATCAGTTCGCACATAGGGATACTCTATGACACAGATTCACAGCAAGAAACAAGGGATGAAAATAAATTTAACGACCGCACTTTAAATATTGAGAGTTCAACAGATTTAGAAGAGAAAACCGTGCCTGTTGAACTTTCAGAAGCAATTTTGGAGGAGGAAATCCGAGTTCTTGATCAAGAATATGAAAATTTAGGTGATGAACAGAGGAAACTTGAGCGGAATGCTGAATCTGTTAGCAGTGAGATGTTTGCGGAAATCCAGGTTTGCATATTGTATTTTAATATACTTATGGTCCATTGTCTCTTTATATGGTCTACTTGCAAACTATATAAAGTTTCTGTTTTGTTCGTTATGACAACAAACTTATATTGTTTTGTTGAATTTGGATTTCCTTAGGAGTTACTCCAAATATTTGGATTACCATACATTATAGCTCCCATGGAAGCAGAGGCACAGTGTGCATTTATGGAACAATCAAACCTTATTGATGGTATTGTCACTGACGATTCTGATGTATTCTTGTTTGGAGCAAGGAGTGTGTACAAAAATATATTTGATGATCGCAAATATGTGGAGACATACTTTATGAAGGTGTGCATATCCGTCCTCAAACTCTGTTTTCACTTCTGTTTTTGAGAAATCATTTTTTGGCTGCGATGAGTTTCTATCCCTCTTCTGTTTCTAATGAGCTTCCTTGTTGTCTTCGCCTTGTCTTCTGTTATTACCTCTTAGCCGTTGTGTTTTTTTCACTAGTAGGTTGAATTAGTTTCCAGTCGGTAGCTAATTATTTGATCTGTTCCTAGTTACATCTCTAATCGTGTGCATTCAGTTTTCAAAGATCTGATGATTATACCTCTAAACTCTTCTGATTTTCAGGACATTGAGAAGGAGCTTGGCTTGAGCAGAGATAAAATAATCCGCATGGCACTGCTGCTAGGAAGTGATTACACGGAAGGAATCAGGTTAGCATAATTTTTAACTGAATAGGTCAAATTCCCGTTCTCTATGTACCTTGATATCGTTTATTGTTATGACATGCAGTGGAATTGGTATTGTCAATGCTATTGAAGTTGTGACTGCATTTCCCGAGGATGATGGGCTTGAGAAATTTCGTGAATGGGTTGAATCACCTGATCCAACCATTTTAGGAAAGACTGATGCAAAAGCAGGTTCCAGTATAAAGAAGCGTCGATCTGGCTCCGCAGATAATGAAAGTAACTCAGGTGTCTCGGCTGATGACACTGAAGAAATCAAGAAAATCTTCATGGATAAGCATGTATTGCTAAATTTCTTAAACTTCAATATTTATTATGGTCCAACAAATCAGAGGGTGAGACAACCGTTCCACTAATTAATTTTCCATTTAATATTACAGAGGAAGGTAAGCAAGAACTGGCACATTCCAGCTACTTTCCCTAGCGAAGCTGTTATTTCTGCCTACTTGAATCCACAAGTGGATCGGTCGACCGAGAATTTCTCATGGGGCAAGCCTGATCGCTTAGTTCTTAGAAAGTAAGTCGTTTCTTGACTTTGCAGTCACATACTTATACGACCATCCTTGCTCAGTACTAGGTTTGCAAACTAATACCAAGGAATTAAACACTCTTATTCCGTTTACTTTCTAGTTTCCTTCAAACAATGTGGCATAGCTTCACAGTAGGTTTTAATGAATCTTAAATGGAAACACGTAAAAGTTGCATGATTTGTCCCAGAGATCTGTATAAAACTACTTTCACTTCATGAAAGAGCGTCCTGAGTTCTGATTCTTGTAGTAATGTTTTCTTCTTCTTTCTTTGGGTGAAGGCTGTGCTGGGAAAAGTTTGGTTGGAACGGTAAGAAGACAGATGATCTGCTACTACCTGTCTTGAAGGAGTATGAAAAACGCGAGGTCTTCATCTAGATTTGATCTTTTATTTTACGTATAAATATGATTATTATGTATTATATATGACAATTTTGTTTCGTTTTTCTTTTGTTTCCATGAAGACGCAACTTCGTATGGAAGCTTTCTATTCCTTCAGTGAAAGATTTGCAAAGATCCGTAGCAAAAGGATTAAAAAGGCTGTCAAAGGAATTGGCGGAGGTCTATCGTCAGAAGTGGTTGATCATGCTCTACATGAAGGTCCAAGAAAGGGAAACAAGAAAAGACTCTCTCCCCATGAAACTGAAGATAACACTTCAGAGAAAGATTTAAGTAAAACCGGTGAGAAAGAGAAAACCAAAAGGAATCGCTCTGAAAAACCATCTAGTAGTAGAGGCAGAGCCCAGAAAAGAGGACGAGGAAGAGGAAGGGGCCGAAGAAACCTCCTTCTTGAGTTATCCGACGGTAGTTCTGATGGTGAGGGTGATGACAATGATAATGTAGTTGGTTTGCAGGCACCTAATGAAGCAAAACCGGACAATCCTCAAAAAGTGCGAAAGGTAAGTCTCTATATAGTATTCGTACTGTGTATTTTGATTGATTATGTGGTGTGTCTCACTTTGTTAATCTGTTGTTTTCCAGTCAACACGATCTCGGAATCCTGTGAAGTACAGTGAGAAAGAAGATGATCAATTGGAAAAGTCAAGAGGCAATGGAGAATCCCTTAGTGAGAATTTGGAAGATGACGATGATGATTTTCTCAAAAAGTTGGGCGAATTAGAAAATGTCTCTGAAGAAAGAGCACATAATGAAACAACAACCATCGATGGATCAATTAACAACGAGTGTCCGTCTGAAGACTATATCCAAATGGGAGGTGGGTTCTGTGTAGATGAAGCTGAGACCGGAGGAGATGTTCATTTGGAGAATAAAGCTACTGATGATTACAAAGTGATGGGTGGTGGATTCTGTGTTGAAGAAGATGAAACAGGTGAGGAAGATGATGCAATGGATGCAGAGCTGTTAGAAACAGATGATGTAAACAGCCAAACCAAAGCTAAACGTCGAAACGAAGAAGATGCGTCATTGGAGGAGGTTGATGATATTGAAATTGGGAGTTCTTCAGCCGTAGGATTAAGTGCTATGCCTTTCTTGAAGAGAAAGAAGAGGAAGAGCTGATAAAGTAGGAAATTACTATTGTATGATTTTTATGATGATTCTTTTAATTTGATTTGACTATTAACAAATAATTATGATGTGAATAGAATCTTTGAAAGTGCAAACTTCTGCAAAAGGAAGAAGTAGTAAAGCTTTGTGGAAAACAATAAAGGTAAAGGGCAAAAAGAACTAGTGAAGAGATCGAGAATCCAAACATTTTTATTCGTTGACTATCTCCTTCAGTTTTGTATGGAAGCTTTTTTTTTTTTTTTTTTTTGTCTAAATAATCTTTCTAGGTCCAGAACTAGCCGGCATTAATATTTCATCCTTCCCAGTGCAAGTCAAACCCATATAACAATAGTTGTGACTGCAACCCTTTTTACCACTGGACTAACTAGTCTTGGTAGCTCTCTATGAAAATTTTCGACAAAAACTCAAAAATTTTCTTTTTACATTTAAAATATTTTTTTGTTTTGTCTTCAGTCTAAATAATCTTCCTAGGTCGAGAACTAGTCGGCATTAATATCTCATCCTTCCCAGTGCAAGTCAAACCTATATAACAATAGTTGTGACTGCAACCCTTTTTACTACTGGACTAACTCGTCTTGGTAGTTCTCTATGAAAATTTTCGGCAAAAAGTCAAAAGTTTTCTTTTTACATTTAAAATGTTTTTTTTCGTTTTGTCTTCGGTCTAAATAATCTTCCTAGGTCTAGAACTAGTCAGCATTAATATCTCATCATTTCCAGTGCAAGTCAAACCCATATTGTAGCAATAGTTGTGACTGCAACCCTTTTTACCACTGGACTAACTCGTCTTGGTAGTTCTTCATGGAAATTTTCGACAAAAACTCAAGAATTTTATTTTTACATTTAGAATGTTTTTTTTTTGTTTTGTCTTCAGTCTAAATAATCTTCCTAGGTCCAGAACTAGTGGCCATTAATATCTCATCTTTCCCAGTGCAAGTCAAACCCATATAACAATAGTTATGACTACAACCCTTTTTACCACTGGACTAACTCATCTTGGTAGCTCTCTATGAAAATTTTTGACAAAAACTCAAGAATTTTCTTTTTACATTTAAAATGTTTTTTTTTTCGTTTTGTCTTTGGTCTAAATAATCTTCCTAGGTCCAGAACTAGTCGACATTAATATCTCATCCTTCCCAGTGCAAGTCAAACCCATATAACAATAGTTTTGACTGCAAACCTTTTTACCACTGGACTAACTCGTCTTGGTAGCTCTCTATGGAAATTTTCGACAAAAACTCAAGAGTTTTCTTTTTACATTTAAAATTTTTTTTTTTTCGTTTTGTCCTCGGTCTAAATAATCTTCCTAGGTCTAGAACTAGTCAGCATTAATATCTCATCCTTCCCAGTGCAAGTTAAACCCATATTGTAACAATAGTTGTGATTGCAACCCCTTTTATCACTGAACTAACTCGTCTTGGTATCTCTTCATGGAAATTTTTGACAAAAACTCAAGAGTTTTCTTTTTACATTTAAAATATTTTTTTTCCATTTTGTCTTCGGTCTAAATAATCTTCCTAGGTCCAGAACTAGTCGGCATTAATATCTCATCCTTCCCGGTGCAAATCAAACCCATACAATAATAGTTGTGACTGCAACCCTTTTTATTACTGGACTAACTCGTCTTGGTAGTTCTCTATAAATTATTTTGTTAAAAGTATTATAGTTACAGTTCAAAAAGAGTATTATCGATTCTTGGATATAATAAGCTGATGCAAAGAGCTATGTTTGATGCCAATACAAACATTACCAACATGTACTCGAATTATTTACAAATTTGGATTTCTATTTTTTAGTAAATGTAGTTTTCCATGAGCAACTCTATGCATTTGTCCTATGCCAGTGTTTGAAACTTCTGCTTCATTGATTAGTAAACCCTACTTTAAAACCTGCAAAAGACTCCATACAAGCTTGGGCACAACCCTAGTTAAGATATATGAAAACCTTTTATTTGACAATATATATATATATCCAAGTTGCACTTTATTAGGATACTTTTCATGAAAAGTATTACATTTATTTGTCTTAACCTTTTAAGGCAACATGCATGCAGTTTGAACTATTAAAGTAATTTTAACATATAGTGAATAAAAACGAAACCCGTAAACAGATGTAGTGTCACTAGTGTATTGATATATCATATATGTATAGGAATATGAAGAACCACAAACAATGGAACGTTATAATGTATACTCATGATTGAAGCCTTCAACTAAACTAATATAATGACAATATACCAACGTAACTGAAAATTCAAATTTTTTTATTTGACAAAGAATTATACTACATTGTAACAAGAGTGAAATTGCGGGAATATCTTGAAAGAGGTGAAAACTATAATTATTGAAAAACGACCAAGATTTGAGAACATGCGTCGTTCCCAAGCATCAGACACCATCTTCAATCTTATCTTATCAGCAATGTTTGCTGCTACGATGGAATCGTGAAAAATATATTAGAATGGAATGCATGCAATTGCAAAATAGTAAATACATAAAATATTGAGGAGCAAAATTACAAATAAAATGTTTGTATTTCAAAGTTTTGTGAATAGTATCCTGATTATCATTAACATTTATTTGCACATAAATGGCTGTACACACCATTTTATTTTTTTATAATGATTTCTCTACAAATAATTCTTATTAGCTTCTCCATATTTAAGTATACTAAGTATACTGTAGGTTTGTTGTCTAATGAAAACAATAGGTAACCGATAACAAATTATAGTCAATTTGTGCATGTTTCAAAAAGAAATGTCTCTAACCAAGAAACAAATCATTCTTAGGGTTCAATCTTTAAAAACTTAGTTTATTAGTCCGTAATTTGAATCTAACTTGGAGAGACAGAGATGAGAGAGTGTCGGGACAAAAAGACAGATAAGCTAATTGTGCGGTGGATTTTACACATAATTTTGTCAGTCACGAGTCGTTCTTGTTCTAATGGCGCCAAACGCTACTCTTGTTCTTTTCTTCTTCTCCTTTTATTTTATTTTATTTGGATTTTCAAATGCATAGGTCTCTTTCTCTATAGACCATACCTTTTTATGAATTTTATCTCATCTCTTCCTTTTCTCGTGATATAATATAACTTTCTACTCTATTATTACGTGCAAGTCGGGGCAATAGTATATCTTTACTATATATATAAAGAGATGATGGTTGCATGTCCAATGATTTTATTGTAATGATCATGACTAGATATTGGATACAAACTTGACAAGTATAATATTCAATGGATCTTAGTCAAAAAAAAAAAAAAAACAATTGACCCGTTGTAAACATCAAATTAGTTTATATTCCAACCTACAAATCATAATTAAAGAATGTTTTGCACTACATATGCAAGTAAACAAATAGATAAAACAGATTTCGGTACATGTGTATCTTTATGATTTTAAACATTAGGTGACCCGTGACGTGTTTTTATAACATGTTACTACTTTCTATGTGGACATCCGATGGGGAATAACCTACTAATCTAAGCTTGCTATACAATATAGTGTTTGTTTCTGTTAAAAGGTAAATATCATAAAATGAAAAGTCAGATTTACGGTAAAATAGATCGAAATTATGTTAGACCTTCCCACCTTGGCAAAAAAAAAGCAATAAAAAGATAAAAAAGGATATAGAAAAAGAGTTGATGAAAAGATCCTATTTTATAAGTGTTTGTGTTTCAAAAAAAAAAAAATAATAATCCTAGAATCAGCGCATACACTTAACCATGAGGTTGAAGAAACCCTAAATATATACTTCATATTCCTCCATGCAGTGATTGTGTTCTGCATATCCTTGTCAATGAGCTTATGGATAGAGAGAGGAGGCAAGACAAGCAGGTTTATACAATATAGTTTTTTAGTTCTAAATATCATTTAACGTGTTAATTACTATTGTATATTTGTATGAATCAATAAAAATAATATTCATCTTTTTCAAATGGACGTGAACTAATAACTATATATCATTTTACTGTGTTTAAAACAACTACCTACTAAAACCTCGTAACATGCTATTAGTTAGAATGGTAAAAGTTATCTACGTTTTACTATGTAACACGTGAAGACACACCCATTCAGGGAAAAATCGAATAAACCGGGAAGTTTTGGTTAGACCGGAGCAGAACATGTGGTCCATTTTGGCAGGGATCATTTGTAAACTCGATCTAGTTCTTGTCTTCTAGCTAACTTCAGAATCTTACACTCACAAACACTTTCAGTTTCTTACCCATTGACAACTCTTCTCTTCTCTCTCTCTCATCTATCCTTCATCAAAGATGCCATAACTCTCTTTCTCTCTCTCCCTATCACATTATCACGAGAGAGACATAGTTTTGCACAATCCATCATAATGGGCGAACACAGAAGAAAAATGATCTCATTAACTCTGTTTCTTGCAATAACATTGATACCACTCATCAACGGTGATCTTGACTCAACCCAACTAAACGACGACGTTCTAGGTCTCATAGTCTTCAAATCAGACCTTCACGACCCATCTTCACACCTCGACTCTTGGAACGAAGACGACGCGTCACCTTGCTCATGGACCTACGTCAAATGCAACCCCAAAACATCACGAGTCACAGAACTTTCCCTAGACGGTTTAGCCCTAACCGGAAAAATCGGCCGTGGGATCCAAAAGCTTCAGCATCTGAAAATACTCACACTCTCCAACAACAACTTAACCGGAAACATCATCTCTCTCTCAAACAACAACCATCTCCAGAAGCTTGATCTTAGCCACAACAGCCTCTCCGGTCAAATCCCATCTTCTCTTGGCTCACTCACCTCCTTGAGACACCTTGACTTAACCGGAAACTCCTTCTCCGGTTCACTCTCTGATGAAGTCTTCAAGAACTGCTCATCTCTTATGCATTTATCACTCTCTCACAACCATCTCGAAGGTCAAATCCCAAATACTCTGTTTCGATGCTCTGTTTTGAACAGTCTCAACCTCTCAAGAAACCGTTTTTCCGGAAACCCTAGCTTCGTGTCTGGCTTCTGGAAGCTTCAGAGGCTAAGAGTGTTAGATCTATCGTTCAACGCTCTCTCTGGATCCATACCGTTAGGGATACTCTATGTTCATAACTTAAAAGTGTTGAACTTACAAGGGAACCAGTTCTCTGGTTCATTGCCTTCAGATATTGGACTTTGTCCTCATTTAAACATAGTTGATCTGAGTTCCAACCGTTTCTCCGGCGAGATTCCGACAACTCTCCAGAGGCTGAAGTCGTTAAACCATTTAGATTTATCCAAGAACGTTCTCTCCGGTGGTTTCCCGGTTTGGATAGGTGACATGACCGGTTTAGTACATTTGGATTTCTCCAGCAATGTGTTAACCGGGAAGCTTCCTTCTTCAGTAAGTAACTTGAGGTCTCTAAAGATTCTAATCTTGTCTGAGAACAAACTCTCCGGGGAGATTCCGGAATCTTTGGAGTCCTGCAAAGAGCTTATGGTGGTTGATCTCAAAGGCAATGGCTTAACCGGTAGCATTCCTGATGGTTTATTTGATCTTGGTTTGCAAGAAATGGATTTTTCGGGTAACGGTTTAACCGGTTTGATCCCTAGAGGGTCAAGCAGGCTATTTGAGTCACTTGTGAGGCTTGATCTCTCGCGTAATAGTCTCACTGGAAACATACCTGGTGAAGTAGGGTTATTCAGCAACTTGAGATACCTTAACTTGTCATGGAACAACTTCAACACAAGAGTTCCTCCAGAAATAGAGTTTCTACAGAACCTGACAGTTTTGGATCTAAGGAACAGTGCGTTGATTGGTTCGGTTCCAGCTGATATATGTGACTCACAGAGCCTACAGATCCTTCAGTTGGATGGTAACTCACTAATTGGTTCTATACCGGAAGGAATTGGAAACTGCTCTTCTCTTAAACTGCTGTAAGTCTCTACTATTTCATGTATCATTTCACTTAACAATGGTTAATTATGTTATGGGAAATTTCATAAAAATATCCTAACTAAATTTCTTTAAGATTTTTAATATTCAAATTTTTTTTGCTACTCAGTTTAATATCCCCAATTAATTGTTTTACCCATTTTAGTAAAAAACAGTGTATTTTCATACTCAAACTTTACTTATTTTAATAAAAAAATACTAATAAATTTTAAATGAAATTTTAAAAATCTCTAAACTTTACAGAAAATTCTAATTTTCTTAGAAAAAGTAAATAAATTTTGTATAATCTTAAAATTTTTAATATTTTTTTAAGTTTAAATATTGAATTTAGTTTATTTTCTAAAATAACAAATAAATTCTTAATTTTGTTTCCTTCAATTTTTTTTTTTAAAACATTTACATCTTCTCCAGAGTTTATTTATGTTCTTTATTAAATCTTCAAGTAAAATTATAAAATATAAATATTTTTCTTAGATTTTCGACATTTTTAAAAAATTTTGTTTAAAATTTACTAGTATAGTTAATTAAATTAAATAAAGTTTGGATATTAAATGGACACAGTTATAAAAGTTTGTGTATTAAAATGAACAAAAGAATTAATTGGGGTATTAAACTGGATAACGAAAAAATTTAGATATTAATAATTTTTTTTTTTTTGTAACACTTCTTGTTAGATATTAACAACCATATCTTTCTTTTTACAGGAGCTTGTCTCATAACAATCTTACCGGTCCAATACCTAGATCACTTTCAAACTTACAAGAGCTAAAGATTCTAAAGCTAGAAGCCAATAAGCTTAACGGTGAAATACCAAAAGAGCTAGGGAAGTTACAGAATCTGTTACTGGTTAACATATCGTTTAACCGACTCATCGGAAGGTTACCATCAGGAGGTGTATTCCAGAGCTTAGACCAGAGTGCTCTTCAAGGAAACTTAGGCATTTGTTCACCATTGTTGAGAGGGCCTTGCACACTCAATGTTCCAAAGCCTCTTGTCATTGATCCAACCTCCTACAAGAACGGTAATAACAACGAGGAAGTGTCAGGAAACCGAGGAAGCAAGTTCCACGGTGGAATGTTCCTTAGTGTTTCAGTGATTGTAGCTATATCAGCAGCTATACTCATCGTCTCAGGAGTCATAGTCATAACGCTACTCAACGCATCGGTGAGAAGAAGACTTGCGTTTGTTGACAACGCTTTGGAGAGCATTTTTTCAGGTTCTTCAAGATCAGGAAGAAGCTTAGAGGCAGGGAAACTTGTTCTGTTAAACTCAAGAACGTCGAGATCTTCGTCTTCATCTCAAGAGTTCGCTAGAAACCCTGAGTCTGTTCTCAATAAAGCTTCAAGAATAGGTGAAGGAGTGTTTGGAACAGTCTACAAGGCACCATTAGGAGAACATGGGAGAAACTTGGCAGTCAAGAAACTAGTCCCATCCCCGATTATCGAAAACCTAGAAGATTTTGATCGAGAGGTCCGGATCTTGGCGAAAGCCAAGCACCCTAATTTAGTCTCCATTAAAGGGTATTACTGGACACAGGAGATGCAGCTTCTAGTATCAGAATACATCCCTAACGGAAACTTGCAATCCAAGTTACACGAAAAAGAACCCTCAACACCGCCGCTTTCTTGGGACGCAAGATACAGAATCATCCTCGGTACAGCCAAAGGACTCGCTTATCTCCACCACACATTCCGTCCAGCAACCGTCCACTTCAACCTGAAACCGACAAACATCCTCCTCGACGAAAAATACAACCCTAAAATCTCTGACTTCGGACTAGCTCGTCTTCTAACAACACAAGACGGGAACACAATGAACACCAACAGGTTTCAGAACGCTTTAGGTTACGTAGCGCCTGAGTTAGAGTGTCAGAACTTAAGGGTCAACGAGAAATGCGATGTTTACGGGTTTGGGGTTTTGATACTCGAACTCGTGACTGGTCGGAGACCCGTGGAGTATGGTGAAGACAGCTTTGTGATACTTAGCGATCATGTTCGAGTTCTGTTGGAACAAGGGAATGTGTTGGAGTGTATTGATCCTACCATGGAGGAGGAATATTCTGAGGATGAGGTTTTGCCTGTTCTGAAACTTGCTCTTGTCTGTACTTCTCAGATTCCTTCAAATAGGCCTACAATGGCGGAGATTGTTCAGATCTTGCAAGTCATCAGCTCTCCTGTTCCTCACCGGATGCTTGATAGTTTCTGAAAAATTGTTTTGTGTTAAATTTAATTTTCCATTATGCAATATTTTCTTATTTTGACTTTTTGTAGAGTTTCACAATGGTACGTTCTATCTTTTCTCGCTATGTCATCATGAATCATCTTGACAATCATTGACCGTTGTTATCATTGATAGGCTTTTTCCTGAGAAATTTACATGTGTTGTTAGTTAGCAAATAGTACAAACGTACAATAATTAATTACTGACACTGGAAAAAAAAACTACATGGCTACAAAGTCTAACATTGGTTAAGAAAGATAGATACATATACAATAATGGCATTTCATTTTGTGAACGGTTGTTTTCTGTTGTCCTTTTGTTTTCAACGTCGTTTTCCATTACCTAATAAAAAAAAGTTTCGTATTCTGATTTTACTTGTGCGGCAAAAACTCTTGTCACTAATAACTGATGTCTTACGTCCAATATTGTTTCTTTTAAATTTTATTATTTTCGTATGGCTGACGTAAAAGAGTCGTACCCCCAAACGTTCTTGTATATAGTTTGGCCAGAATATTTAAATGTTTAGTTTGGAGTATCACTCTGAAAACCTAAGAGTTCGTTGATAATCAGTCTTGTGAAAGCAATAAAAAACAGTAAGCGAGTAAAAATATATCCATTGAGGCATAGACCAATCAGTTTGAAATAATTTCTCTTGACAGTGACCAAATTGAATGCCGGAGTAGAGTCCATCTGTCAGTGTTAGGTCAGCATGTTACATGGCATTTTATTTTGTCTGCTTCATCATCTTTTACAAGTGTGCGTACCCATTTACTTTCACGCACTCACACTTTAACTATTTACAGAACCACTCTGTTTCTCATCTTTACTTGGTTTAAAACAAAAAATCACTTCTTCGAATCTCCACATCTACAAAAAAACAAGTAACAAAGAACGGAAGAGAGGAAGTGCAGACTAATTGAAGAGATGACGCGAATGTACTTTCAGAGAGAGGTGTTACCAGTAAGGGCACTGGTAATTATGGAATGTGCCAACGTGGGCTTAAACACTCTGTTTAAGGCAGCGGCTTTGCAAGGCATGAGCTTCCATGTCTTCATAGTTTATTCTTACGGTCTTGCTGCTCTTCTTCTCCTTCCTTCCCTTTTCTTCTCTTTTAGGTTAGAGTTTTCTCTCCTTTACTAAAAACTGGTTCGAATTTTTACGAATTTCAGCTAAAGTTTTTGAAGTAAAGAGTGATGGATTCTTGTTAATTTGACAGATCAAGAACGCTTCCACCGATGAACTTCTCAATTCTGTACAAAGTATTGCTTCTAGGTTTGATTGGGTAAAGTTTCATTTCTTCTTAACCCTTCAATAGAGTTCTTGAAAACATCTCAGATTGTTCTTTAGATACACTTGGCTTAAAGTTGTTTCCAAAAGCTGCAAGAGTAGTGCAAAAATCTAGGGAAATTAGGTGAGATAGCTATAAAAAAAATCAAAATTCATTAACTAACTAAAAATACCCCTTCTATCTTCATTGCTCTCCCTATCTCTCTCTACTTTCTCACTAGAAAACTAATTTTTCTTTTTTTCTTGGTTATTTGGCAAATAAGCCCAAAAATCTAACTCTTTTTCTTTTGTCTTTTTTTTTTCTTTATTATGTATGAACTATTCATATTTTTTTGAGGGGTTGTTTTCATATATCTTCCTAATAACCGGAATACATTATTTAGCTATATAGATAAATTTAATATAGGAATATGTATTCCGTAAAGGAGTTCGCCCTAGAAAATCTCTCAGACACGATTTTCAAGGCGCCGCCGCAAACCATTCTTCTCGACGCCGGTAAGGCCTTTGGCCGCCGGTGTCGGGCCCTCTACTCCATCACTTGCTCCTCTTCTTACGCTTTGTACGGTAGTTTCGTCTCCAACATCTGCTGCTGTTTCTTGGTCGTTTCCTACGGTTCTATTTCCCCATCTTCTCTTGCAACCTCCTCCTTGATTCTTCTCCAGACCACCGCCTCTCCAACTCCTCTGCAGGTCACCGCCTCCCTCACCGCCGTCATCTCTCCATCATCTCCTACAACCGCCGTTCACCATACTCAACCCGATTGGATTTTCAGATTTGTTTGGCTCTGCAGCTATAAAGCGTCTACACCATTCCACGCCGCCTCTGAGTCTTCTCTATCCTCGGTACCAGTCACCATCTCCATCCGCCTTTCACCAACCCACGCAAGCTGCTTCCTTTGGTATTATACCGCAAATCTTTCATCTAACATGGAAGCAGTTCGACCATGTTATGGTCTCTACGGAGTGGAGCTACACGGTTTAAGATCCTCACCACTAGAACGGATTCTGGAGCCACCAGCTAGCCTTGACACCATCCCTTCTCCTTCGCTACAAACCTCCACCACCTCGCCCCACACAGTCGTGATGAGCTTCATTTTCCGACTAGAGATGGTTTCCACCGTCTCCGGCGAACGTTTTGTGTCCGTCCCGCGACTGTCCTCCCAGACCCACCCTTTTCGCCAAGGTTTCTATGGAGCTAAGCTTTATCGTCTAAAACCCTTTCTCCTAGTAACTACCGGATATTTTGTGCAAGAGTATTGTTTCGCTAGTATTACTCATGACTATCTCACCGTTGCGTCTCTATCACATTACGCCGTCTCAAGCATCGACGGTTCTTCACAATACCGGTTTTGTGGCTTTCTCGGTCTCTTCGTCGCTGACCTTACTGTGCAAGAGGGTTATCTCGCCAGATTTACAAGTTACATCATCATTGCGAGTCCATCACATTATGCCGTCTCAAGCATCGACGGTCTTTCACAGTGTCATCTATGCGACCTTCAAACCGGAGTGGTGGTACGCAGATCCAACCAACCCAAAGGTTTCTACCTCTTATCCGATGTTTGCTCTCACACATTCTGTTTGAACGAGTGCGTTGGCAGTATGCTTAGGTTTTTGGTCACAAATTACTCGACTCGATACGGTAATATTGAGCTCCGAGGTTTGAACCTATTTCAACCATCAGCTATGTCAACAAACTTTATCCAAAGCGCTTCTTTGGAGGCAAAGCTAGAGCTCGAGATTCACCTAGTCTCTTCGGTAAGTCTTGTTGGTTGTAAAGCTGTTTGTGCTAGTTTCAGCGTTATATCAAGTCAGTTAGGACTTCGTTCTCTCGATGTTGCCTACGGTTTTAGAGCTTCTCACCTAAGGTTCTCGACAGTCAACATTTCAACAACTTCCTTTAGGTGTTTCAACGTCGTTTTCGACTATCAATTGTTCTTCCGAACAATCGCCATGGGAACAAAAGTGAAGCTTCCTTTTGGGTTTCTTCAATTCGCTGAGCATGACTCGTCCCGAGATGGTTTTATCTTTACCTTTTTCGTAATGTTTTCTATCTTTGTTCTACCGTCGAGTATACCTCCGGTTGCTATCCTGTTATCACTTATCATTATGCACGGCTCTTGTTGTAATTCGTTTCAGCCAGTAGTGTTTTATTTTTAATATAATCAGTTGGTGTTCAAAAAAAAAAAAAAAAAGATAAATTTAATAAAATCGTCTTAAATACTTATATAGATGCTGCTCGAACGTAATGGGGGTACACAGGGATTAACTATAGCTCTCCAACACTTGCTTCTGCGATCAGCAACCTCACTCCTGCGTTTACCTTCTTGCTCGCAGTCCTTTTCAGGTTTATTATCCTTTTATACAATAAAATCTTTGTAAATTAATAATATTGAGATTTTAAGATTTTATTAATTTATAGAGATATTAACTTACAAAAGTTTTTTTTATTTGTCTTTTTTATTTTAAAATATATTTATTCTAAGATAAGAAAAATATGTGATTTTCGTCTATAGACATTAATTATTATTATTTTTTTAAAAAATAGACATTTATATTAATTTTATTATATTTTTAGTGTATACTATATATAATGCATAGAATTTTAAATATGGCTTGGTTTTAGATATAATATTACTAAATCTCATCAAAAATATATTAAGTGTTAAGAAAATATAAAAAAATAATTCCATTATTAATATAAAACAAACAATATAATTATATGTTCTTACTTATATGAATAGGTATATATATAAATTATTAATTTATTATTTTAATGGGAGCATATATTTACCTAGAATTTTCTAAAAAATGTTAGTTGATTATTTTATTGATTTGTTTCAAATTTTAAATTGGCCCAAATTGAAATCAATGAAATTTATTAATTTATAGAAATTATTAATTTATCGAATATTAATTTATAGAGGTTCTACTATATATTTCATTTATACTCGGCCCATGAAGCATATTTTGGTCTATATGTTCAGCCCATGAGTAGAGTTTGGTGTTTGATTGATTGCAGAATGGAGAGTGTATCATTCAAGAGAACAAGTAGTGTGGCTAAAACGTTAGGAACTTAGTTTCCATTGGAGGAGCATTTATTGTGACTCTTTACAATGGTCCTGTGGTGATTACAATGTCACCACCGTCCATTTCTATGAGATCTCAAACACCAAGTCATAATTGGATCATTGGCGCGGCTTTCCTTGCCGTTGAGTATTTCATGGTTCCCTTGTGGTACATTGTTCAGGTCTCAAATTTAGTCAACTCTATCTGCATATATATTGACCTATCTCTATATGTTTTTTTTATATGCGTCTTATTTTTCATTTTGTAGACTCAAATCATGAGAGAGTATCCATCCGAGTTCACTGTTGTGTGCTATTATAGCTTCGGTGTGAGCTTTTGGACCGCGCTCGTCACATTGTTCACTGAAGGGAGTGAGTTGAGTGTATGGAAGATAAAACCAAATATAGCTCTAGTGTCAATCCTTTGTTCGGTGAGAACATATAATTACTTATTTATGTGTTTTTTCCTTGTTACTATGAGTGTAATCAGTCTTTGCTAACAAGGAAATGTTTTCGTTTGTTAACAATATATATGATTAGGGAGTGTTTGGATCTTGCATTAACAATACAATCCACACATGGGCGTTGCGGATCAAGGGGACTTTATTTGTTGCAATGTTCAAGCCTCTGTCGATTGCTATTGCTGTGGCAATGGGCGTTATCTTCCTCCGGGACTCTCTTTACATTGGCAGGTGAGTAAAACTAAAAGTTTGTACAAGATTAGTTTGAGCTTAAGCTTAAACCTAGTGGTTTTAAGAAGTAAAAATATATACGTCTAAGTCATATCCCCCA